CAACTCGTCAGTGACAGGACTTGTCTCTTTGACAAAACTTGTTTTGCAGTTGTTTGACCTTGTTTTCGCAACTCGGTCATATTGGTAGGAAGACTTAGAGGAACGCACCTAGTCCGGCTGCATTGATTGCATGATAATTTCCAGAGAAGGACCGTGGGCGTGATATATTACTAGACGCTTCGCCAGAATATAGTATGCATCATCATTTTCAGAGTAGGAGCGTGGACGTGGTACATTCCCAGACGTTTCGCTGGCATCGATACTTGTCTCTGACGGGTTCGTAGCTTAGTGCGGAGAATGGCAAAGGTCACTGATGATGCCGACTACGATGCCGGCGAAACGTTTGAGAATGTATCAAGTCTACTGTCAGATACTGGGAATCATGACAACTACTATGGCAGACGAATTCGGACTAGGAGCGTTCTACATAGTCTCCCTGACAACAAGACCAAGTTGCGACAATGAGGTCAACCCAATTCTAAAAGTACTATGATCACTATGAAAGTCAATTAGCTGTGTATATACATTTTCACTTTTTAGTTATGAATATATTTAAGAGGGAAAATAGAGCCGGATCTTGTTTTTAACCTAGTGTTAACTTGAGATTTTTACAACAATGAGCTCCAGCTCTGATGATGTTCATCATATGCTAGTCGAAAGCTCAGCCTGTTTTCACCCGAAATAAGGGAGGTCTCGTGAACTACGTCAACCTGAACTTCCAGTTAAACCAAAAGGCTACAATACAAAGGGATTTTGCCGTCGTCTTTTTATGAGATGGACCTTAGAATCTATTCTTCATGCGCCTTCATATTAAATGAAGATCTACTCTAACTCTACGACTAAGAAAAGAGGAGATAAGACTACAATTTAAAAATATGCAAATTTTGGCTGAAATTCGACATAAAATATAAGAACTCAAATTATAAGGCTTTTCTTTAATTTAAAATACTGATGAACTCTTGGCATCCATTTATGCACTTAACTAACAATAAGTTAGCCCTATTCGATATATACAGGTTTGTCCTAGAAGTATTCCTTCCAATAAAATTTCTCAGGCCATTTCCTAATAACAAGCTTTGCTAATTTTCCACTATTCCGAATTGTATCATGAAAAATTCATCCTTTATTATTTTTTTCAAAATTTTATGTAAATATTAGGTTCTCTACATGGATATGGTGCACTATTGTCCAGAAGATGCCGAGGAAATTATAGATCTTATTATCGCGAAGGGTTTGCGTCTGAGATCACCAATAGAAGAAGTCGATCTTCTCATATCTGCTATAAAATGATAACATTTCTTTATTATTTAAATGTACATTATCCTTCTTTTTATAGATAACGCTGTTGCCAGCATATTTTACTTAAAAGATTTTTTTAGTCTTTTAGCTCCTAAGCCCTTTATATTCATATTTAACTCAGAGATTTGGTGAAATTGAAATACACGTTGATGTTTGCAGCAATGAAGGCTTATATTTAGTGGCACTAATAAGACAGTATGAACAATTATCGACACTAAGGCTTATTTAATATATACAGAGCGTGGGGATTACTTATTTTTCATATATAAGTAGGGCTTCCAGGAATCACTTAGACTGACAAGCATGGAGCAAGGCACAGACTAGCAAAATTTATCTACTCGATACCTACTAAATTAAACGGTTGACTAGAAACTATCTTGGAGAATGCATCTTTTTCTCAAAGGATCAGAACTATATAAAAGGAAAGAATAGCATTATTGATTAGCTTTAACGTCCAATCCATGTAGACAAGCATCTCAAGAGAAATCTAGTATTAAGAAGAGGATTTATTCGAATCGGATAATATACTTTGAGAGTCTTTAGCTCAACTTATAAATTTAACAATAAAGATCACTAACGTACCATTTTACACTAGCATTAATACTAGAACTTTCAACGGGATCTCTAACCCCTCTTTCGATAGGCGTATGCACTAACAAATTAGACAAGGTATTCGATGCGGTTCTGCTTCAACCATGCTTAGTCTTGCATTGACTGGATAACTACTTTATAATTTGGTAGTCTGGAGGTGAAAATATAGATGAATTGATCATGCTTAAAAACTAGGATGCTGAAAAAACTAATTAGCAACGGAGTAAAAGGAGTGCGTGGCTAATTTATCTTGATTCCAGTCATTATCTCGGCTATGATATTTAAGAGAATATTATACATAAAAATGTCACATGTAGAACTATTCCTCAGTTTTCATTCTATTTACGGCTAAATAATGAATATATGAAAATCGATTAGTATGATTAAAGTAATACAGTAAATGTAAGATAAATAAAAACGGAATTGGGGTCTTCGGATTATGTATTCAAATGCTTTAGATGTTTCTCGGCGCGGATGGTCGATAATATTTAGAAAATGAATATTTAATGGCATGATATAGATTATGATAGGAGAAATTTCGGAAACTGTGACCAATATTAAGAAGTATCAAAGATCATTAAGTAGCCGAGAACATTTCCTCTACCTACTCTGGATTTCTGCTGACTGATCCATCAGGAATCGACCTTCGAGTTTCTTCAACAAACACTTCCACTCGAAATGGAAGTAAGCTCAACAATTATGAAACAAGAGTCTTCGAAACCTAACTTTTCTTCGCATATCCTGTTTATATCCGTACATGACGTCGTATGTCAACCGATAAGTGTTGTGGTTCTACTTGCTTTGATTAGGCTCACTAAAGACGTCTCTTTCTGATTATTCCTTTCTGGTCCCCTTGCGATTTCTTTTCCTAAAATATAAGCTGTTACCTTGATCCGGTCGTCTTCTTTTTGCTGACCTTACTGTTGCATGGTCTTCTTCAAGTATGTATAAGCAATATGTAAAGTTTTTGCTGATCCTGTCTTTTTCAAGTTTCCTGTTCATTAGATTTATCTCGGTCAGTATATCGATGGCCTCTCGGATATTGCGTTTTCCCTCAAGTATATAAATAGAGCTGACGTTTCCATTGAATTTCACTTAGCCCTGCTTTACAAAAAGTTGTTCGTATCCAGGTTGGACTGCAGTTTCGACCTCACGTAGCTCCTATCAACACTCCAAGTGGGAGTCAAACCGTGATAATGCCGCGTGTGAGCTTGTCACGTCAACCAATCAGCCACATTGCCATGAGTGCCCCTGGGTGACAGGGCAGATGCAATTTAATTTCAAGGTATGCCAGTCCTTTTCGAATATCACATTCTTTGGTGGGGTTGGCGATGAATAAAACTTGTTTTAAAGTTGCTTGACCTTGTTTTCGCAACTCGGTCATATTGGTAGGAAGACTTAGAGGAACGCACCTAGTCCGGACTCCATTGTATGCATTATCATTTCCAGAGTAGTACCGTAGACGTGGTACATTCCCAGACGTTTCGCCGTCCTCGTCAGTGAGTCTCGCCATTCGCAGCACCACATTACAGCGCGTCAGAGACAAGAGAAGCCCATCCTTTGACCTAACGTGTGCTAAACAGTTATGGTATCTCCCCTTCTGCCCTGGGCTATTCACTTTTCCTATATACTGCTATCACGCCTTCCCTGTCACAATTTTTACCGGCCACACCATCTTGGTCTTCATACATTCGATTAAAACTTGTTTTGCTATGACAATCGACTACATCACTTTTTTTTCTTATGAAATTAGAATTTCGAGACTACCAGTAAATAAGTAATATGACAAGTATTCACCATATTTCGTTTAAGGAAGGCAAGACTATATGAAATTTAATATAAAAGTCAGCTCTTCTCACTTCATTGTGGGAAAATTCCACTACTACTTCTTCATCACCTTAAATGAAATAGGGCGAATACATCTCATATTACTGATTTACTTGTTGCATCGAAAATTTACTTACATACGAAAAAATAAATAGCTTACAAGTCTCAGTCTCATAACTTTCCTTTGATTTATGGTTGAAGGCGTAATAAAGTATTTCATTGACTGTGTACGAATGACACTTCCTCATTATCTTGCAGAATCGGAGAGCGACATCACTTTGGAAAGGTAAAATAGCAGGATTGACTTGCAATCGTCTTCTTTATCCAGCTGTAATAAGTGCATTGTTTGACAATCCTACTTCCATGAATTAATTGAAGGTATGAAGACAAAGCTGGTGTGGCTTTTTGTGTGGTCGCAGTCTCCTTTCATTTTATAGATGCTACATGTACTTGTTTTCGCCACTTGATCATATTTGTAGGAAGACTGAGAAACGCACCAAGTGTACAGTCCATATATTGCATGATAATTTCCAGTCAGATCGTGGACGTGGTACATTCCCATACGCTTCGCAAGGATCATCAGTGAGTCTTACCATTCTTAGCATGCATTAAAACTCGTCAAAGAGACAAGTCAAGCCGATCCTTTGACCAATTGTATGCTAAACAATCGTGGTATCTCTCCTTCCACCATGGGCTAATCCTCAATCATTTAACCTCGTATCACTTTTTTATTATCACAATTTTTAACTTGTTTATTTAAATGTGGCATAATGTGCCCTTTTGAGCGGCTTTCATGAGAAGTCTCCATACTTTGCGCTTTTTTTCTCACCTGCCTTGACTTTTGTGCTAGTAATGCTGATCAGAATCTGCCATAATGTTGCGCAGTCCTCTTTCCCTAGGTCTTATTAGAGTCTTCCTCTTGCCCCGTAGATTATGTCTGCTATCTCTCTGGTTCTAGTAATTCACTAGACAACTGCCACCCCATCTGTGCTACTCGAGGCGTTATTTACCACACTCTGCCTCTGGGAGATTAACTTGAGGCTAAAGCCTCTAAGTAATATTCAAGCATTTGCTTCATGTACCACGTATATGGTAAAACAGGCCAACTAGCTCTAGTTTCCGCCTTCTCTATCCAGTTTCTATCCGTAATATTATGTCTATGACTTCCTATGACTTAGCATCTTGTTTGCCAACCCATAAAAAATTGTGGTAGTACTTGCTTTGATTAGGTTCAATGTTGAACCACAACATTTGTTGGCTGTCACACAAAAGACTAGAGCATAGGAAGACATAGATTTGGTATTACGAATAGAAACATGATAGACGCGGCGGAGACTGAAGATAGTTGGCTGACAGTATGCCTGTTTTTACCACATACATGGTCCATTTAGCAAAGGCTTAACCATGAGAATTACTCAGGGGCTTTAGCCTCGAGTTAGTCACCAAGACTAATTGGTTGGGAAATATCGCCTCGAGTAGCACAGATGGGGTGGCACAAGTCGAGTGAAATACTTGAGCCAGGAAGATAGCAGACGGATCCTACGGCGCAAGAGGGAGACTCTGATAAGACCTAGGGTAGGAGGACTGTGTAAAAATAGGGCATTCTCTGATCAATATTCCCAGCATACGGGTGCAAGGGTTGACGGGGTGAAAGAGTCAGCGTGGATTATGCAGTTTTCTAATGAAATCCGCTCAAAAGAACATACTATACCACATTTCAATAAGGAAGTAAAAATTTGTGATAGTGAAAAGGTGATCGAGGATATAAGAATTGTGATTAGCCCAGGGGGTAATGAGATACTACGATTGTATAGAAGACAATTTCCTGCATATTTGTTAGAAAGTGAAGTGGCCTCAACACGTGAAGTGGCCACAGATGAAGCGTGAAGCCGATGCCTCTAAATCACTTATATTTTTGATCCTGCAATGTTTCCGTATGTGATTGCGTTCCGTTTCTTGTGGGCAGTGTGCATGAAATGTTTGTGAGATACGTATAGAATGAAAGTAAAAACCAGGTTTGAGGCGAACCAAACATTCTCCTGCTCGGTGAAACGTCTTTTTTTCTTTTCTTTCTTTCTTTCCCTCTCTAATCTTTTCTAGCAATCATACGTAGTTACCACCTAATTTCCCACATTTATTTGATCTATTTAGGACGTTGGCCGTCTTGTAAATTTATATAGATTCCTTAATCTTCCGCTTACTGGTAGATTCTTCATATCCAACTAAGTGCTTGGCTTTATTCCAGTCTATCTGGTCTCCTTTATGGGCTATGCTCTGGTTTTTGGACCATTTGCAGGCTGTTTTATGGTTAAACATGTCTCCCTAAATAAAAACTACCAAACGAACATAAAACTGTAAAGCGGCCAGATTTAGAAAATGGGTCCATAACGACCCAGACAGATGGAGCTACTGATAAAAATGTTATTTTTGCCCTACACATTTTCCTGATATCGCACTTCTTTAGCTTATCTTCCCCAAAGTAGATGCTTCCATTGAGCCAATTTTATATTATCTAAATCTATGGTCAATTAATCATAATGGGTTTCTGTTTTTAGTTGAATCTTTTCTCAATT